GATGGTTTCGACGGCCATCCAGCTGCTCTGCTTCTTGCTAGTAACTGTCCTCCTTCACTTTTCGGAGAAGCCGGATTACCCTTACCAGGTGGAGACGGCCAAGGCTTCCGTCGTGTGGTTCTTCATTTACTACATGGGCTTCGGCTTAGGAATGCTGGGAATTCCATGGCTTTACCCCACCGAAATCAACTCGTAAGTCTCCAACACGACCTCAGAGGATATTCATACCCAGGCTACAATTACTGACTTTGTTACAGTCTTCCCATGCGCACCAAGGGAGCCGCCGTCGCCACGATGACAAACTGGATCACCAACTTCGTCGTCGTCGAAATCACGCCCATCGGCATCCAGAAGCTGGGCTGGAAGTTCTACATTATCTGGGTGATTACCAATGCCCTATTCCTGCCTATTATCTGGCTCTTCTACCCCGAGACCGCCAATCGCACTCTGGAGGACTTGGACGCTTTCTACCGCGACAACCCGCCCCTTGTCCTCCACCGCGACCGCGACTCCACTTCCGTCCGTCGCCCGGAGAGGTTTATTCAAGCCCAGGGCCGCGACATCGAGGAGGCGGCGCACAACTTACGCCGCCGCGGCTCCATTCTTGTCCACGACGCTGCCGACAAGTCGGAGAAGTCGCTCAGCGACTGAGGTTCTTAGGAACTTTGGCTTTGATGGTCCCCTTCTAAGGGTTACGTCGATATTATGAGGTCTCTTACGGGACTATGAACGCGTACGCTTCATCTGGGCTACCATTATTTTCTTCGGGTTATTTTTACCATGGATCATCTAGCGGGCATATGGGTACATGCATGAGTCGATTTACGCATAGATTTTACTTTAGGGACTTAGAATCGGAATGATACCACCTTGCTGTTCAAAAGTTGAGTACCTAGAGATATCGATTTAGTGACATGTGAGATGGCGTGCTTATCTGCCTAACGTACTATGCGATTCTAGGTACCTACCTACCTACCTGTGTATTGAAGCCATGTCCGGTCCGGATATAGGAGAAGGGTATCGCTCCTGGTAGAGTATTCGACCCTTAATCTAGCGACCCGCACTTGGCCCAAGCCAATGGAACGTCGTGTAAATAAGTTCCACTTTCCTATTCCAGCATTCCATATCCCCAAGCTTCACGGGCGAGAGACTTCAGAACAGAAGAGCCGTACATAGCGGAATCAAAGAGGGCGGCCTTAATCGACGTGACGATATCGACGGTTGATAGCCCGGCATAACGCGCGGCGGAACCAGTCCAAGATGTATCTGAGCCTGCATTTCAGGACCGCGGATATTGTATTTATGTCGAGTAACGGACGGGGTATCAGCTTCCCAAAGACGATATGATCTAGAACGCGGTCTATACCCGAGACCTTCAGGATATAATTATTCAAGTGAATTCAAAGGACGAAGAACCGATGGAGAGATACCTAAGCTACCGGCCGCATGTCGAGGAAAGAGTCGTAATGCAGCCGCCATTTTAAGGAAGGAGGTACCTTGTTCAGAACGAGGATGAGTCGCGAGCTGAATGGAAATGTGATCAACAGAGGTAAGAGGCCTTGGACGATTGACTTCTGCCTCTATCCTGAGGGAATCACTAGGAAAGGTCTAATATAGCAAACGCCACGCTTCCCAGCTTCGTCTGTCATACAATAACGACGTTACGTGATGGGGTAGATCTATTGCCCTCAGTTACGACCGCGATACATATAACGACACGACTTGTGAGCACACAGCTTAGCCTCTCCGAATTTACCTCTGATGCCTACCGTCCCGCCTAAAACACCCAGCGTATACAGAGGCCCAAGTTTCCGCGGATGCAACCGTAATTACAGACGTCAGCACCAACCCTGCTCATGGAGTATCTCATACCAACTCAAACCACAACTCATCCATCAAAGCAGATAAATATTTAACCAGAAAACCCAATAAATGGATATACCGACATATGACGAAAGCAACTCATGAGCTGAGCAAATCTCGGACGCTCATACCTCGCCCTGGTCCACTGCTGGCGGTTCCCCTGCGATCTACATTAAGCATCAGAAGCGCCGCGGATGCTTCCTGGTCTATTTCCTGCTGCGGCCTCAGAGTTGGGCTCGTGAGCGCTGAATGCGATGCAGATGCGGGCCCCACGTGTTGCTGGTACCCCTGAGGACCGAAGATAGGCGAGGTATTCGACGGAGCACTATAGCTGTAATGTCGGTACTCGGTCGATGCGGACGAGTAGGACTGTTGCCTCCCTCTCGCATCCTGTGCCATCAAGGCCGGCGAGATAGACGACCGGTTTGAAAGAGCTGGTGTCTGTGCGTAGACCGGCGAAGGGACTTCCGAATTCGTCATTTCGACATCTCCTTGGCCCTCATCTTCCTCTTCCTCGTCTTTATCTTCCATATCATAAGAATCATGATCATTAGGCGGAGGAAGTCTGAATTGGGGCGGAGCTGGGGTCGTGGATTGATCCTCGCGTTGCTCCTTCAACTTGGTGATGCAGTCTTCGAGGTATCGCACATACTCGATCGAAGCCTGAAGGAGCGAATATTAAGATGATAAGTTCATGCGACGAATTGGATTCCTAAACATACCTGCAGAATAGCCAGCTTATGCATTTCGCCCGTGCACGCAGGTATCAAACCCTTAAGCACCGCGAACTCTTCATTCATCTTAGACCTCCGACGTCGCTCAATCAAGCTGTGGGCCGTCTTCCTCGCGATTTTCCTGCCTGCAGCACTAGTGGCGGACGGTTGCTTCTTCTTTGACCCAGCGCCACCAGCATTCTTAACAGCGGTCGCAGAAGCCGCTTTGTCCGAGGCGGCTTGTTCGACCGGCTCGTCCTGTGGACGAGGTTTCATCTGGATGATCCTGCGGGATCTCGTTGGTGGGGGAGGCAAGGCAAACGTATCCTTCTGCGCGGCGGACGAGCGCCTCCTTGACTTGACTGTCTCGCTCGGCTGGACCGGATAGGTGGTCTTGGTTGATGGGGACACGGGCGAAGTCTTAGACGCAGAGGTCGGAGGCTGAGATTTAGCATTAGATCCGATGGCCGACGGAGGCAGCTCAAAGGACATTTGCAGAGTGGGTAGCTGATGAGATTGATCCTGGCCCTTGATCTCTGTAGAGGACGCCGGCGTTGGCGGCATCTTCAGACGTGTCATTCTGAATAGTGATATATTTCGTAATTATCGTGGTCACACGACAAGAGCGATGGGTACTGTGCTATCTCAGACGCAGACCCAAAAGGCGGCCGAAGTCAAGCTAGCTGCAGCTCAAGATATCTCAACTTTCAAGTTCGAATAGAGGCTCGGATTTGAAGTTGAGGGTCAGGAATCGCCAGGAGTAAGGACCGGGTAGAACCGTCACAAACGGGCGCAAAATGACGAGAGGGCGGGTGCTGTTGAGAATGAGATCAAGAATCCATGGCTAGAGGTTCGGGTCGTGAGTCGTGTAAGTTATGCGCTCTGGTCTTCAGAGATCTCACTTCTAATGATAAAGAGACCACCGCGGGAGGGGGCGATGTCGACAGATGTGTGTCGGACATGATGAGAAGTTTCAATGTTGGACGAAGCCATTGAAAGAACATTGAAAGGTGTCGAGTCGAAGGGCACGCGATCAATTCGAGCTCTAACATTGGCTGAAGTCTACAAGCGGCCAATCAGCGACGAGGATGCGGGAACGTGCTGAGGTGGATTGGCCTGTGCAGCTCATCCCATGTGCGCCATGTGCGACCATCTGAGTCTCGGCTCCTACAACCTGCCTGATCCCGGCCGTGTTTTGAGTTTTGAGAGCATTTGAGTGGTCTCTTTATGAGGTATGGACGGGAGTTTGGGAAGTTGCTTCTCCCTGTCTCCGATGAAGCCATTGGTTCATTGGTTGGCTCAGGTACCTATCCAACTCGACCCGACAGGCGCCACACACATCCGAAGCGCCTCTCGACCCCCATATCCCTGCTGCGATGCGAATCCAGGCACGTGAACGATAATCCCACGAATACACGACATCTCAAATGCCGTGATGAGTGTAAGAGCTACCGGGGCAATGACAGGAAATACCAGGATTCGCATTATTCCGAGCTCGAACGACCGGAGCGCCCGTTGTTCCCGGACGTTATCAAGCGAGTACAATCCAATCGAAGAAGTTGTTCAAGTGGAACACATTTTGGAGAGGCGGACGCGGGCACTTAAGAAGGTAGGTAGGTATGCCGTACGATAACGATAAGTTATGTAATCCTATCGAAGACCCCTGTCCCTGTCGATCCGACATCTGAGACTTTATTCGATCTGAGGTTGGTTCATCCTACAATTCCATTCTGGGCCGGGAAGCTGTCTGTTTAATAGAACACCAGCGACCACGACAAGGTCATGAATGGATCAAATGTGTCCCAGATTCCCCTTTCTTACGGTGATTTACCATTGTCTCTCAACTGGATGTATTTTCTACTCCTCGCATGAGTTACTGGCGGACTGCGCATTACCCCAGGACGCCAGAGTCCATGCAACAGCTATGAACAGATTCAGTCGTTCATTCCTATGGCTTCTAGGCCCAACTGAGAAGCCGTCTGGTCTAGCCAAGCTTATCGACGAGATAGTCTTCGCAGATTACTTCTTAGGCCATCCAGAAGTCTACGGTAGTTGAGAGTCTCCGTGCCAAAGGTTAGTGTCCTTATTGCCAATGAGCTGTTCTCTAGAGCAATGGCGTCAAGGCAGAAGAGGAGCGCGCTTCAAAAGTCTAGCTCAGCCTCCCAAGGCCGATTTGATGTCTTTTCTAGCGCCGGAGTCCCGTCTTGAGCGTTCTGGTTAGGGAAATTTACACATAGGTAGGCATGTTTTAGGGCGCTCTCTAAGAGTTCGAAGACTGGTGACCCTCGACGATTACTAAGGCTAGCTTGGATCGATCTACTGTTATGACGGGCAAAATAGAAAGCCGCCAAAGGAAACCTGAGTCTCTTCGAGCTTCATTATCCTCTAACCTAGCAAGGGGAATAGGATGCAAAAATGGAACGCTGCGGTGAGTGCGGATCGAACGCACGACCTTCAGATTTCAGGAATGAAGTTCGACTTCAGTCTGACGCTCTCCCAACTGAGCTATCCCCGCTTGGTTGATCCGGATTGGATGAAAATTGTTGTGGTTAAATTTGTATAAGCCGTTGTTTGCGGCGGCTATTGGGTTGTGGGTGGGTTGCGGCTCTGCCTTCGGCCGCTTAGGGCTCTCCTAGCGGATCCACGGCGGAAGGTCGGATGCTAAGAATCTTTTTAGTAAGTATCGTGGGCCCCTTGGATCACTATATGCATTGAAGTTCTAATCGTTTACTTAATGTGAGAGGATTGGCTTCTTAAGAGGTTAAACCTTGAGGTGGCCGTATATGTAGATCTTCACCGCAATTACCAAAAACTTAGACTCGATAATGCGAAGATCTATAACGCGGATCAATCACTCAGCAAAGAGCACTTCCTAAACTGCTTATAGCATACGAGTCTAGCTGAATCTCAAGAAAGTAGAAGATCACAAGAACCACGGAGCTCTAGTAACAGAAACGCCATCTACGTAATCGACTCGATAATCCTTACACAATGCAGCGTGGAACAATCCTGTGCGGCACAAACGTCCCGACGCCAGGAAACTATCTACCTGACTGTCCCAGACCCAATCTAGCCCTCCACCGGTCTAGCTTATTTTCCAACAGGGAAAAATCTCGAAACGTTCACACCTCCAGATCATCTCCACGTAACTACCAGTGTGATGGAATGCTTACCAAAAGAGACTATTTGCCAGCTCTGCGGGTGAGCACCAAGTGAGCATGTCGATCAGCTTTCAGCTGAACGGAGCTGATTCGCAGCGGGCGCGCTGATTGGCGAGCGGCGAGGTATAAGTCGCGTGCGAACAAGGAACAGTCGACCAGGTGGCTCAAAAGTTCGTTCCCTGATCCGGTTAGGAGCAAAACTCCAGGATTCCCGACGAAAGCAAGTGACGACAGGGATTCGGCGACGGGGTGGGCGGGCGTCAGCATACCTACCTGCTCATCTCCATTAAATAGCTCCTTCATGCGGGACATTCTACCGCGGCTCATAAAGCGGAGGTCTGCCGAAGGAGAGTTTTGTTTACTATCGTCAACTTGAAGCCTCGAAGTTGCCAGAAGACGAGATCTCTGTGATTGATAACATAAGATAGCATGCGACCACCTTCCCTTTTCGGCACACTGCTGCTATGCGGCGGCGCGATCGCGACTGCGAGGCACCCGCTAGTCGTCGACGCGGAGAAGAACGTCAAGTATCAGGGGCTGAGCCGCAACGGGATAGAAGTGTTTCTGAACATTCCATACGGACAAGACACGGGCGGCGCGAACCGGTTCAAACCGCCAAAGGCCGCCGCGCCGAAGCCGGGCAGCACCATCGTCGCGCAGTCGTATGGCCCGGCCTGCCCGCAATCCCTGGGAGAAGGCTTTCCCCCGCTGACATTGTCCAATGTGACCGAGATCTCGGAGAACTGTCTGAACTTGAACGTGGCGCGGCCCAGTAACCTGTCTGCGGACGCCCGGCTACCCGTCTTGGTTTGGATCTACGGCGGTAGCTTCTTTTCCGGTCAGAACAGCGAGCTTACGACGGCGCCGGATGGGATGATCCTCGAGTCCGTCGCGAACGGGCTTCCGGTCATCCACGTGGCGATGAACTACCGTCTCGGCCGTAAGTAACGAGCACCCCTGTCAAACCTAAGCGAGATACGACCCGAACTAACACGCATCCCGCGCATACCTAGTGTTCGGCTTCGCGCAATCCAACGCTCTAGAGTCCGAAGGTTCCGAGAACGCCGGCCTGAGAGACCAGCGGCTGGCCATCGAGTGGGTGCGCGACAACATCGCGCACTTCGGCGGCGACCCGGGGAAGATCACCATCTTCGGGCAGTCGTCGGGCGGCCTCGCCGTCGGCATGCAGATCATGGCGTACGGCGGCAGCAAGCCCGCGCCCTTCCAGCAGGGCATATGCGAGAGCCAAGCCCTCGAGCCCGGGATCACGGGCAACTTCACCATCGACGCCTTCCGGCTCGTCGTCGAGCGCGTCGGGTGCAACAAGAGCGCGCTGCACTCGGCCGAGACGGTCGCGTGCCTGCGCGGCCTCGACCTCGCCACGCTCCAGGGCGCCGCGGAGGCCACGTACCAGTCCGACGTCGCGCACAACATCGGCGACATCTGGCTGCCCGCCGTGGACGGCGACTTCCTGCCCGCGCCGCCCTCGCAGCTCATCGCCGAGCGCCGCTTCGCCAACGTGACGGCCATGATGGGCTGGTGCGAGGACGACGTCGCCTTCTTCACCGACACCGCCATCGCGACGCCCCAGGACACGCGCGACTTCGTGCGGTCGTACCTCCCGGGCCTGAGCGGCGCGCACGTCGACGCCCTCCTCGCGCTGTACCCATCCGCCGAGTTCGCCCCGGACGCGGCCGCCAACCTGTCGAGCGAGTTCTACCGCGCCGCGCGCGTCTTCCGCGACGTGCTGATGGTGTGCGAGCCCGTGCACTACGGGGCCGCGCTCGCGGCCGCCGGCGCCGAGGTGTACCTGTACGACTGGAACCAGACGGTGCTGGACCCGGTCCTGGCGGCCCTGTACGGCGCGGCCGGGCTCGGCGTCATCCACACCTCCGAGTTCGCCTACGTCTTCGGCAACCTGAGCCACTACAACACCTCGGGCTACCCCTTCGACCCCTCGCCCGCGGACTACGGGCTCGCGCGCCGCGGCTCGCGGTCCTGGTCTACGTTCGCGAGCCGCGGGGCGCCGGGTCTGGCAGGCCACGACACGTTCGTGGGGTTCGCGCCGTCGTTCGCCGTGGGGAGTCCGGCGGGGGGCCACGAGGCGTTTTCTATCTTCGTTGCGGGCGGCCCAGATGAAGGCTTGTCCGCCGTCGAGGGGCCGGCCGCCAAACCCGCGGTAGCCGCGCAGAAGCTGAAGGAGAGGTGCGCGTTCATCAACTCGAACGACATCATCAAGGAGCTTCAATTCTGACGATTGATAATGTTTTGTTCATCTCCATTTTGAATAATTTATAATTTCCCAACCAGGAGGGTTCTTTTCTGTGTAGGTAGCATAACATCATAATAGAACAAATCCATTGTATACCAGGCTTGATGATGCGTTTCGTGGAATGGGCTCGATTGAAGAAAGACATCTCAGAGCCAATATATTGAAGGCTGACACATATATGCATATGTAGGTCCCTGCCGGGCTGAGGCGACATATATCCGAGATCCGAGCGGCCTGAGATGTGAGAAAACTTGACCGCTATTCCCTCGGAGCGTAGGACTTGCGATGTGTGAAATATGCATGCACACGTTGAGTCCTAGACGCCCCCAACCAATGACGAAACGTGGTGGAATTCTCTTCCGCGTCTCTCCGACTTCTGCGTCGACTTCATAGTATACAAAAGATCGTCCACAGGATCATAGCTTGCTTCATAGTCTACATTTTCACGTTACGCAGATGAGGAGTTTGCGGCAGTATTGACGCAGAAGGCTCCCTTAATTCTTAGTTGCGCTTCGTTATCATGATCCCGTTATGCGCCCAGGATGCCAATGCCTAAGGGAGGTTCAGAAGTCTATTCGGCGTTAGGTATCATACGGTAATCTATGCTTCTGTCCGATATGCCACGCTTCGAAGTTCTATTTAGTCTAAACGCCCCTAATGCACTCATGTAGCCTCGTTACTATCATTACCCGTGGCTGATTTGTATTTCAATGGTTGACCTTCCATAGGTCTAAGTCCACGCTGGTGCAGACTTCCTACACCAACGTCCTTAGCCAAGCTCGTCTAAATCATCGTCGTCCCAACCAAGACGTTCGTAAATGGACATCTTCCTTCCCGGTTCCTTCGCCTCCCCAACCGTCGCTTTATTAGAATTAGCGGTGGTACTGTCGAGTATCCTCCGCTTAGTAGGGGTGGTCGCCACTATGCCTTCCGACGGAACGGGCACGGCGCGAGACTTGACGGGCGTCTCTGTGAGTTCATCCATCTCAATCCCGCTGTCACGAAACGACATTGTCGAGGACGACTTTCGAAGAATGATAGGCGATGACGCAAGAACGGCGTCATTATCAACTTCAGGAACAGACATGAAGCTTTGCTTATGGGTCAAGGACTTGACTGGTGTTGCTTCAACTCTGCCCGCCGATGCTCTTGAACGTGGAATACTTCGACATTCATCGAGTGTAAACGCGGCCTCGTGGCTGCGTTTTCTTGGGCCAGAAGAAGGGATCAAGGAAGAGGAAGGTATAGTGCTTAGTCCGTTTGACTCCGCACTTCGGGAATAACTTGGCCGGTTTCCAACACTCATATCAAGTGCGTCAGTGAAACGTTTCCCAACAGGCGTCGCCTTTACAATATCTGGGACACGTGGGTGCTGTGTCGGCTTCCGCGACTCTGCAGATCAGTTAGCATCAGGATAATATATGAATTTGGAATAAGATCGGTCCAACACACTTTTCAGTTGAGAGAGACTGGTACCAGCTCGTCTCTCTGCGGCTTCAGCTATATCCTTGCCGACGACGTCTCTATTAGGGCGTCTAAGGAGAGATATCGCATTTTGCAACTCGGCTTTCACCAAGGCATCCTTCTTCGCCTTCTCTTCTTCCAACCTTCGTTTCGGAGGCGCCGTCACTGTCGAACGTGATGGTCTTCCTTTAGACGAAACCGAGTCTGCTCTAGGAATGCTAGTCAGGGATAACGGCTCGCTGTTCTCTCGCTTCAACATAGTCGTCGAAGCAGATCTCATTAACGCGATTGCCCCGCTTGGGCCACGCGACATACTTCGACGGTGTTTCACGGTCTCCTCGGACAGGACGCTTTCGAGCGTGCCAGATGGCTTCGATGACGACAAGCGCTTCGCAGCCGAGCCGGGCTTTGGCTTTGGCTTAGTCACGGGAACCGGCTTCTCCGACTTCTTCGGCTTCGATTTGGGCGGCGGCATGATAGGCGGCCCGCCAAACTTACGGCAAAGATGATCGGCCTTTTCTAGTAATCTTGCGGAAAAGCTTTGAAAGCATTAGCAATCAGTCCCTTCGATCGTAGGTGGAGATAATCTTACAATGGCACAATGACGTCGACGCAGAA